CCCCTCCATGTAAAACTTCAATTAATGGTATTTAACTATGGTAATTATATAACATGTTATGCATTCAGTTATATATTCATTCACAAAGTCAAGTCCTCTGCAATTGATTCTGTGCCCTTTCAAGGCAGTAGAATTAGATCTAGGCCAGATTTGCTTGTTCACTTTATATGCAAAGCTTAACGCATCTGGAACTGTACAATTAACATAACTGACATAACTACGGCAACATGAGCTTTTTTGTACCAGTGCTGACCTTTCAGCATGGCAGCTTTTGTTCAGTACAAAATTATTTCCAGGTGAGCTTATTGTGATCAGATAGCTGATTTTAAGGTAAGTACATTTGCAAATTGTGAGGGGAACACTGCTTTCTTTGTAATTTTCTCATGTGGAATGTCATAGAATCCTGAGACCACAGAGGCCATTTTGATGCAATCATCTCTTTGGGTAGTACAAGAGTTCACCCCTCCCCCCCACCTTTGGATATGAATTGGAAAACTGCTATAAAGCTACACATGGAACTAATGAAGGCTCTGAGTACATATTTCCTATTATTTGGAACCCATTGTAATTAATTAGTTTTCTGTGTGAGAAATTAAATTTCTTAACCTTTGTGCTCTTTGGATGACAATTGATCTATGAATTTGATTGACATCTTCAAGCTCCTTTATATAAATATGTTTGCAGGGTGGTGATGGGTAGATGCTTTTCAGAATATTATCTGCTATTATGATCCTCATATGATTTGCATTCATGAAGAGTTATCTTACTCATGACAAGCAAAGCAAGTTAGAAACTCTATCCCTTTCCAGACTGAAACAAAGAGGGGCTCTGCAATATATCAGAAGATATGTTTGCACTACTTTTGGTTTTAGAAAAGAATTTACTACTGTATACCCCACACTGGAAATGGCTAGTACTGTGTTGCCAACTCATTAATGCTTAAGCAACAAGTCTTACTTTACTCCTTGGTTTAAATTGATGCAAAATAACTGAGTGCAATTTATAGTGTGCTAATTCCTTGTGCACGTGGCAACAAACAACGATAACCCCACAGCAGTTCAAGAACACTGGTACATATAAAAGGCCCAGTGGTGATTCAGTTTGAACACTGGTGTTGACTGAGGTGAAATATCCTGCACAAACTCCTTGTTTAAGCTCTTCATGGCCTTACTCATCTCACCTTTATGTTCATGTTTCTCAATCCCAGTCTATGGCTTTTGCTTCTGCTGCCTACAAGTGCCCAAATGTCTCTTTCTTTCAAATGGCTGACCATTCTCCTTTTATGCCTCAAATGCCTTATCAGATAGCGCCTCTCTTCCTTCATATTTATCCTGAAAAATCCATCTCTTCATAAATCTTTTAACTAACCTCTTCCCTAGGGCTGCCAAGTGGGGGCGGGTGGCGGGTAACCCCCCGCTTTGGAGGCCCGATTTCCGACACCGCGGAATCGGGCCCTGGGGGGAACCCCACTCCTGCGTGCGCGTCACCAGGAAGTGACGTGGGCATGCCGGGCACACTGGGGGCGGGGCCACGACCATACAAGGGAAAACGCTATGGTTTTCCCTTGTATGGCTGTGGCCCCACCCCCAGTGTGCCTGGCGTCCTCCCGTCACTTCCGGGTGACATGCGTGCCGGGAGCCCCCCGCTCCCGGCGAAGATACACTTGGCAACCCTACTCTTCCCCCAACGAAGTCTAAAAACTCAGAACCCCACTGGTCATAGTTCCCCATGTTATTCTTCCCTCTTCTACCCTTCTTTCCTCTCTCATCAAATGCTGATTGTGAGCTTTATTTGGTCCAAAAGCCTGTCTGTTTTGCTAATGAATCTCTGAACCATATGGGGGGAAAACTCCACCATTGTTAGAATTTTTAGTAGGGATGCCAGCCTCCAGTGGGGCCTGGGAACCCCCCAGAATTACAACTCCAGACTCCAGAGATCAGTTCTCCTGGAGAAAATGGATGCTTTGGAGAGTGGAATCTATGGCCTTGTACCCCAGTAAGCTGCGGTGGCTCAAGTGGTTAAGACGCTGAACTGCAGGCTGTAGAAGGTCAGTAGTTCAGCACTTCAAGACCCGGGTGCCGCATGATGGAGTAAGCTCCCGTCTCTAGTTCCAGCTCCAACCTAGCAGTTCGAAAGCAAGAAATTGCAAGTAGATAAATAGGTACCACTTCGGTTTAACAGTGTTCCGTGCACCTTGGTGTTTAGTCATGCCGGCCACATGACCACGGAAACGTCTTCGGACAGCACTGGCTCTTCGGCTTTGAAACGGAGATGAGCACCGCAACCCTAGAGTCGGATTTGACTGGCTTTCGAGCAAGGGAACCTTTACCTTTACCCCAGTAAGGTCTCTGTCCTCCTCAGGCTGCATCCCTAAGTCTCCAGGAGTTTCCAAACCTGGAGTTAGTATGGTTATTCAGGACCACCTATTGCACTTCATTCTCAAGATGATTCAGACAACCAGCTTTTTCTATCAGGCAGTGACTTTCCAAAGTAATAACTTTCAGTCACAAAGTGGTAGGAAATTTGGAATCTGAAGGCTCTGATGCTGTTGTGATAGTTACTGTAGGCTCATTTGCAATTACCATCAACCAACAGCGTCACTTGACTAGTCCATGCCCTGAGGGCCACCCAACCACATATTCAATAATGACTGTATTTATAACCTTTTAAAATTACCAGAATACTTTTGAATATATAGAATGCATCTCTTTCCTCATCACTGTTGAACCTTACCAGCCCGTTTGGTATAGTGGTTAGGAGTGCACTCTGATCTGGGAGAAACAGGTTTGATTCCCCACTCCTCTACATGCAGTTGCTGGTGTGACCTTGGGTCAGTTACAAGTTATTTCAGAACTGTTCTCTCATGAGCAGTCCTCGAAAGAGCTCTCTCAGCTTCACAGGGTGTCTGTTGTGGGAAGTGGAAGGGAAAGGGGATTGTAAGCCACTCTGAGATTCCTTTGGGTAGTGAAGGGTGGGGTATAGATCCAATCATCTCCTCCTCCTCCTCCTCCTTTATCTGGAGTGAGGGGAAGAGAGCTAGAAGGTGGTAGTAAAGGGTTCAGGCTTCCTACTGCATGTTGGGCTATAAGAATTCTAAAGGGAGGCTCCAAGCCAACACTGCTTACTGGCTCAGTGCAGGCTGCTACAGTAGGAAGCCTGTCAGCCGTTTACTTCTCTTGCTGCCATCTTTCCCTTTTCCTGGCACAAGTATTGCAGCCCATCTGAGAGCAAGATGGCCAAGGCTACTGTGCCATGCCAGAGAGACAGTGGATAAGGCAGTGAGGGGAGTGGATGGTGCTCAGATTTCCCACTACAGAAACGTACTCTAAGCCAGACACGAGAGTTGTGAAGCCTCTCTTTGCAAGAAGCTTGTGGGTGCTCTGCGTCCTCACTCACTCTCCAGCAGGAGGCATGGCAGTGCAGGTGAAAGAGTGAGCTTGCCAAGATGCTTGGAGGGAAGCTAGCTGGCTGTGGAGAA